CCTTGGTCTTGTGCAGTCCTCCGAGCGCGTTGGTCAGATAGGTCCGGAGGTTCCGTCCTCCATGTCCTGGTTCCAGACGGGGCGAGCAAGACCAGTACGCAATGGATTGGGTCCGAGTGGTTCCGTGCCGTCGTCTGCGCGCTGGTTCCGTGTGGGGAAAGCGAGAATGCATTGTGGACTACAGGTCCGGGCGGGCTACTCCAGGCCGAGACACCTAATATCACTCCCCGCTCCAGGTCCTCTAAGCCCGGCCTTAACCAGAGCTGCTCTCGCTGGTTCAGGACTCTTGGATCTAGTCATTTCTCACACTAGGCTAAATTCAGTTCATTATATAAGCTGAATCCATTGAATAGGGCCTATTCAGTTTAGGCTGTCTGTGACATCCACCGTGATCTTTTTCTTTTTTCACATTTGAGTCTTCTCATGTAAAGCGCCATACAAGTGTTATGTATTATTATTCTAATGCTCAACAATTCGGAAATGGGGACCCTGAATATTGACGGGTATTTGGCACACTGATGGCAGCTCCACTTGTCTCATCTGTCAGCTTCAACCGGGATCCGATACAACTGAACCCATGTCTTTATCTCTCTGCTTATTACAGCTCTGTGCGTAACACTTTTCCGGCATAATGTGAAAATTAAAGGAACGACTCGAAAATGTGCTAACTTTACAATGGCGGTCTGTTGGCGGTCTGGCTTGTGAATGTCACGTGCAGGGTCTCTATACAGACTAAAAAGCTGAAATGAATGGGATCCCTATCATGCCACCAGAACAAAGCACTCTTTTGGAGCATTTAGAGACAAAAATGGGTGGGGCAGAATAAGGTCAATATGGGGATAGAGGCCTGCATAACATGTATCACAATCAAATCAATCACAATTTGAGTTGTTTACTGCATAGAACAAAATGCCCTGTGTTTTGAGAGAAAAATCTTAGTGTACCAGCAGTTTAGACCTCTACAAGCATTGCTGAATATATATAATATGGAATATTTGTACAGGCCAAAATTACAACAGCAGTTACCTCTTAAGTCTTAACATCGGTGATTTAACAAAGTTAGAAAATCAACAACTGTAACCATTGGTCAATAACAGACAGATCCACAAAATAATAATAATCATAATAATAAAAAAAGATGAGTTGACAACAAATTTTGGTCAACCAAGACACCATCAACTTATTAAAACCAACTAAACGCCAACATCTCTAGCAAAGATTTTTTTAATATCTTGCTGCCCTACACTGAAATATGTCAATGTGCAGTCTTACCCAGAGAACGGTTCAGCTGTGTAAATGTTGAGCGAATTTGCAGCCTTGGGGTCATCGTCTCAGACTCAGACACGGCTCCTCTCTCTGTGTTTAATGAACAAATGAGACTACACTAAAATAGTAACACACGTGTTTTGACATGTTACAAGTATGAACCTTGATCATAACAACAAAAGACACGTGAAAGAGGCAGAAGTCCACCTAAGTCACCTAATAATGTTGTTCTGTGTATTGTCATATCTGGGTTAGTAAAAAAATGAACTTACATTGGTGGTTTTCAGATTCTGGATTGTGTTAGTTTTCCTATTGATTACACTGTACTTTGTACTTTGTCATGGAACAATAAATGTTGGACCTAGTTTTATAATTGATTAGAACCGTGCATTTGTACAATATTATCTTTAGCTGCCCTCATTTGTATTAAATATAGGGACACATTTTTGAGAAAGGTTCTCTGCTCCACTGTAACATGTTATAACAGGCTAATGACAAAACTACTACATATGTAACTTCTGGTGAGGGGTATGTGGCATGTTGCTGCTTTGTCTGGGATGTTTATGTTAACAATGTTTCACTGTAGAAGTGCCACTTTCATGCTATACTGTGGAACATTCTATTGCAACATTATCCCCGGAAAAGCCAGTAAAGTTACTTAGTATCTTTAACCCAAACTAACACACAGCTGAAGCACTCCTTTTTAAAACTTTCTCACTGAAAAATAAATATAAGGTAGCAGATAAACTCAGAAGTTAGATAAACTACTATCACATCTACAGCCTATTCCTGTCCTGCATCATGCCCTTATTAAAGTACACATGTATTTAAAGTACAGTATTCAATAAGCTGAAGAAACATGCAATATATTGCATGTTTATTGCATGTGGTCATCGTGAATAGTGCCATCGTCATTGGGGTTGTATTATTTTAAGTGGGCCTGCCAATCTTGACAGTAAATAAGTTCTATCTGGACTACAAAGCTGCTATAATAATAATAATAATAATAAATAATAATAATAATAACTTCCATTTATATAATGCACTTTACAATAACACACACACACACAAGTGTGGTTAGGAGGGATGAAGCAGATGAAACAGAAATGTTTCATCTGTAGATCTGGTCTTTCTCTTCTTTGAAGAACAAATCATCAAGTTCAGGGGCCTGGGCATAGAAGGCTGTTTCCCCTGGTCAACAACCTGGAGTAGGGAATGGTGATCTGAGGAGGAGAAGGAGCAGCGGAGTGTCCATCTTGGGAGGTTTGTAGGTTTGGAGCAGGTCTGAGAGGTTCTGAGGGGCCTGGGCGTGGAGGGACTTGTAGGCGAGAAGAGGAGTCTTGTTCTGGATTTGGTATTTTATGGGAAGCCAATGCAGGTGGGCGAGAGTGTTGCCAGGGTTTGGTGTGAGTGAGGACCCTGGCAGCAGAGTTTTGGATGTATTTTGCAATAGTCCAGACAAGAGATAATAAATGAGTGGATAAGTGTTTGAGCAACCGAGTCCGGGGGAGCTCGACGGAGGTGGGAGATGTAGAGGTGGTGAAGGGCAGATTTTGTGATTGATTTGATGTGGAGTTCAAAAGAGAGGGTTGAGTCCAGGATGATGCACAGGTTTTGGACTGTTGGGGAGAGGTGGATGTCATTGCCATTGATGGTGAGCACCAGATCTCCAACCTTCTGGAGCAGTGGTCTGGTGGCCACAACCATGAGCTTTGTTTTGTTGCTGTTGAATTTGAAGAAGTTGGCCAATAACCTTATGAGTGGAAGTTGAGTCCGTATTTACTAATGATTTGTCCGAGGGAGAGCGTGTAAGTAATAAACAACAGTGGATGGAACACAGAACCTTGTGGTACACTTTGGTCGATGAGAGCAGGAGGAGAGCGGGAGTCATTGAGGGAAATGAACAGTTGTTGGTGGGAAAGGTATGAGTGAAACCAGGACAAGGCTTTAAAGCCTCCCAGAGAATTGGTGCAATGGTGACTTGTCAGTGCATATGAAGATTGAATTTTTTTCACAATTCCACCTATTTTATATCATATGTTAGCAGGAAAACCTTTTCAAAAATTCTCCATTGGTATGAGTGGGATTCCCACTTCAAGTGTCTGAGAGGTTAGACTGCTCATTTTACTAAAACAGTTAACATCATCATATTTAAGATTTTGTTAGAAACTGTAAAAAAAAAAAAAAAAAAAATTGGCAGTTTTTTAGGTTTTTATTTCCTGGTTGGAATCATGACATCACACTATGGAATTCCATAACTCTCATACATAAGCATTTACTGCAAAGGAACTTAATGATGGTGTGTGAATGGTAAAACAATTGTTTTGATACAAGTCACAGCTGCCAACATTTAGAATATGAGAGGGGGAGGAGTTTATACTTCACCCTTACTCCTTTTAGAGCATAACTGTACTACAGTAGAATATGTACAATATGATTTCATGACTGAACTGAAACAAAAAAAGTTACCCAGAAACCATCTTGTACACTGGGCCAAAACTCCTCTAATGTACACAGAAATTATGTTATGTTGGTGAAATATTATGTTATTTTGGTGAAATATCATTTAAAGTCTCAAGAATAAATAGTTTCTTGTGTATAAATTGTGCTGATGGAATTCTTCCTGGTGTGATGCCATCAGTACAGAACTCTCTATTTCCTGTCATTTTCAACATATTTTTCAAATTTTCTTCACAAACTGCTTCAGATTTCAATCAAAATACACATCTGAAATACATCCAGGAGCATAAACATTTGAGAGAAAACTTGAAATAAGAAAATCCCATTGATCGCTGATTTTCACAGATTTTATCCTTATTTTTGTTTAAGATCTGTTGAACAGTTTGAAAATTAAATAATATGCAGATAAAATAAAATATAAGCAAGGATTTGAATTTGTATTTATTTTGCACGAGACATTTCAGAACATGTTTGTAGAGGTCTACAGCACTGGGTAAACAGGTTTTAGACATAGTCAGTTATAAAATATTTTCTGAATGACAGTTTAATACCTGAATGACCACACATAATGGGATCTAGTGCAGTGGATAGTGTCAATCAAAATCCTTGCCTGGCAAATCCAGAATGACGCGTGTGAAACAAAGAAGCTCATTGGTCACCCATAATTTACAAACAAAATGACATTTCTTTGACCTCAGGTTAACAGTTTAGTTTTTACTGTTTAAACATAATGTAACCACAAAGAAGTGACTTAACTGGAACTAGAACAGGTGAGATTATTTGTGCTGTTAAAGAAATTCCTATCAAATAACATTGCAGTCACAAGCGAACTAGTCACTCTCACATTTTTGTTGTCCAACTCCTAAACAGGACCACTGAAAGTGTTGATCACAGGGTCCTGAAAAAGTGTTGTTTAAATCCATTTTGTATTGTTCTTGAGTTTTCAGATGATCTTAAAACTTATTTGACAGTGTCGTGTAAGGATACGTTGAGATAAGGCCAGTAGGTGACAAATGTGTTTTTAAAGTAACCTCTGCTAACATGTTACAAGTACCCCAAAACAAAAACAGCTAAGGCTTAACCCAAAACAGAGCCATTTTCCACACCTTCACATAATCCTGTTCCTAAACATTCTACCATTAACCTTGTGTAGTATGTAAATAGTGTCACCATGGTAACTGCTGTAACATAAACTTACATACATCTATGGGGTACATTTGTCTGTGTAGGGTTCTTTATGGGAATAGAGTCAGGTGCCCTTTTTAATGCCCTACCCTCTGTCTCCTCTGAGGTGAGTTTCCATGAACTGGTGCACCTTTCTCCATGCGTCCTCCTGGGCCACAGCGTGTGGGGCTGGTTGTCCACCCCAAAGAGTAAACACTAAAAAACATAATCAAGTCATTCATTTAAACATGTTTTTTTTTAAGGTGCACTGTGAAACTCTTTGGTGGAGATGCCTGTCATCAATTTAGGCTTATTTATGTTCCACTTTCGTAATCCGTGCGTTCCAAGTGTCGTAACTGTCACTGCAATTAAACTTTCAAACGCTTCTGAAGTCAAAGCTGCATTCTCTTACACATCCAGAAGAGGGGGCACAAAGTCAGTTAGTGAATTAACAGTCTATGACATTCTTTATACGATCTATGACCAAAACGGATGAAATAGAGCAACAAATAAACAAACATGGAGGTACAAACAGCAGTTTTAGATTGCATTTGTTGGAAAAGAGTCAAGAAAAATTTGGTGAGGGAAGCATTTTTAGCAGTTTGTACTAGTCATGTTTTTTAAAAGTTTAGCTTCCACTATGGAGCTGTGTTTTACTGTCCCCAGTGGTCAGCTCAAGTACAGCTCCATGGCAAAGATTACACATGTTCTGAGGAGACAGACCAAGTGACTGACAGAGCTTAAATGAGCCTTTATCGTTCAATACATGACAGATGGAACAATTATTTTTAAGAGTCAGTATTTATGCTTTTTCTTTGTACTTGTGAGACAATTTCAAACTAACTACTGTGTAACTCTGAAAGTGTTTCATTGTGCTATTTATTTACTAAACCAGGACTAGAACAGGACCAAATGAAGTCCACATCAGACTCAGGACTAAACTGGGAGCACAAACATGTGTAACATGCCTCTTAAAATGCTCTGGCAGTATTTAACAATAGTTGGCAGCACACAATAAATTTCTAACTATTTTAGACACAAAGTTGCTAATTAAAATGCAACTAAAGATTATGAACATGGTTTAGTTGGATAAAGTGAATTTAGTTGAATCCCACTTTAAACATTTGAATTCAGTGTGGAAAACTGAATGTGGATTTCTTTTTCAGAGTCAGTAGTGCTTTTTCAGTGTAGTGTGGTACTGGCACCAGTGGAGACAGACTCACGTTTCTTTGGTTTGACGCTCCACAGACCCATTCGGGCGTTGGGGGTAAATGGAGGCTCGACGAGGTGCCCAGCTCCAGGATACGACAGGCGGGTGAACAGGTGACCCTTACCACAGGCATTTAGAGTTTGCTCCAACTGAACAAGAGTGTTAGACTAATGAGGCAACACATGAAAACCACCTTTTACAGCTCCTTAAAGCAAAGACATTCTACTTCTATGGATTCAATCTTTTATTTAAAAAAAAAAAAAAAATCTATATTTGCCAAAAATGTCATAAGGATTTCTGGTATAAAGGACAGGGTGTCAGGATCATTATATTTTTTATTTCGTGTTAATAGGACCAATATTTCAGCGGGGCAGAAGCACACACAGGGACAGACGCACACACACTGGACACTTACTCAAACTGTGCAAATTTTAGTCAAAACTTGTCAACACATGAGGAGACATAAATAGACATGCTGTGGCTGTGGTTGCTTTTTCCTAATCAAGAGAGCATAAATCCTAGTCAGCACCACGCACTCTTACTGCTGCATGATTGGCTGCAGACCTGTCATTTAAAGTGGACATGCCTTATCGTCTCGATTAACTAAAGGAAAGAGATCGTGCTCTATTGATCTTTCAGTTTTTGGCACAGCCCTGCTTTGACTAGTGTGACGTGTGCACTCAGTCATCTGAGGAGACAGACCGGATACAAGGGTAAACTGTGGCACTATTCCACTAAAGCAAGTAATAATTGCAAAAACATGAAAACCATAGGCATTTGAACATAATGAATGGTGTAGTGGATTTTAGCCCTTACCAGATCAGCGTTCTCTGCAGGATACGCATTCAAGTCATCCCCACTGGCAATGTACAAGACCGGACAAGGAATCTTCTCCATCTCACAAAACAAAAACAAAATAAGAATCAGTAAAATGATAAAGCAGACTGACAAACACAGAATGAAGTAATATAATATTACCTTGACTATGTGTGATGGTGGTAGATTTGCGGGGAGTGAGACGTCCTTGAAAATGACATGGCCATTATCATTGAATTTCCAGTGTTTTTGGTGACTAAAACACAAATACAAAGGGCTCTGTAAATAAAATATGAGTGAATTGTCTTGCTAAAAAGAGGTAAACAGTTTCACATTAACTTTGAATATTAGCCTTTTTTGACACACCAGTAGCACCAGCAACTTATAGCAGTAATATGTAACTTTTTGGTGGACAAGTTATTGTCATTCCTTTGTCAGGAATGTGAGGCATTAAACATTTCTAATGATCACTTATCCAATTACACATGTTTTTTATAGCTCAAAAATAACTTAACTACAGTTTATAGACAAAGAGACAAGCAGGTGGTGAACCCTCCACACAGAAAAAGTGCAACCACAATAGTTCTACTGGTAATTGTAAATGATGTACAAATTGAAATCTTCAGCTCTCCCTTCATCATCAGTGAGTGGAACGGTGCTGCCCACTGGTCCGTTTATGCAAATCAAACAGGATGGCTGCAGAAAAAATACAAAATAAATATGAGTCTTAAAGGTGCTGGACTTGAGATCCCATGATTTTGAGCAGAATTAGTTTATCCCCCAGTACAGATATATTGTACAAACAGCTCTTTAAAAACAAAATAAGTCCACTGTGTACTGTCTACTGTCTACACACAGCAAAGGATCAAAATAGGACCAATTGAAGTCTAGATCTGGACTGAACTAGACTCAGACCTGGACTAAAGAGAATACATTTGTAGTGTACCTTGACTTCAGGTAAAGTTGCTGTTCTCAAAGTCAGGTAACCTCCATAAGAGAAGCCCACGATCCCCACTCTGTCCCGACAAATCTGATCATGATCCTGGAGGAACTTAAACGCTGTCTGTAAAACAATTTTTATTATGAAATACCACACTGATCAAGTATAAATATTGTTAAAATTAATTAAATCATGCTTTCACAACAGAAAAATAGGTCATAACTAGTCTTGTCACAACACAAAAAATTTATTTTGATGCTAAGGAATAGAATCAATACTCAATACCGATTCTGATACCACGATGATAATTAAAAAGCCTTTTTCTTTAGACAACAGAATGTGATTTTCACCAATAAATTGTTCTTTATTTTATATTACAATGTGGTCTTATATGTGTGTAATCCCTCAGTGGTCCAGGTAGGTTCTAGTGGTCCATGGGTGTATACTAGTATATGTGCTCTTATGTTGATGCTGATATGACTCAAGATCATTCTAAAGCTATTCAGGAAAGGTTCATTTCTGTCCTGTGAATGTGACTTTTTTTTAGTATCAACCTGCTCAAATGAGTATCTAGTTTAAATACTTGTTTTAGTATCTAAGACATTCATAATGAACAAATAGTGTATAAAGAATTATTATGACTTAAGGCCTATTTATACTTCATAAGACCGTAAGAACTTTGTTCTTGCACCCAGGGCTGGCCGAACAAACCAGCTCGTGTTCGGAGTTCTTGTGGCTTGTTCTCGATACCCTGGCTGAGCAGAACTTTGTTCTGCAGTGCTGTCTGGGATCTTTGCTCTGATTGGGTTATCTACTTTCTTGACAGTGGTGAGAAAAAAATATATATATACATTTTTTTTTCTCCCCACCGTCAAGAAAGTAGATAACCCAATCAGAGCAAAGATCCCAAGAGATTTATATATATATATATATATATATATATATATATATATATATATATAATATCGTTTTGAGTCACAGCTGACGAAAATGGTGACAAAATACGACAAAGTATATATGGCACAACGCTCAATGACTATGTCTGGCATAATCTCTGTGACAAGTTTGCGAAAGCCAAAAGGCGGGTCAGCAAAAACAGAGCGGTCAGGTTGGAGGACAAAAAGGAATACCTTCGCTATATACCTCCCTGCAGTGACTGGACTCAGTCATCAAACACAGGGAAATGTCACCAATATGACTCCTATTCCAAGTCAGATGGAGGTAAGATATTAATACTTAGCTAATAGGCCAATGTGAGATGTGTGTGAATGAAAGCTGTGAAAAGCACTTATGAACTCACTGTGTTTGATAATTAAGATGTTTGGAATGTTAGCTCTTTGTTTACATGACATGCCTTGCAGCTTGTTCTTCAAAGAAGAGAAAGACCAGATCTACAGTATGAAGAGTACACTGACTTTGACCGCATTGTGAAAGAAGGAAATGTCTCCATGGTGGAATATATTATTAAGTTTGAACAGCAGTATTCATTTATGAGAAAGTACAAAATGGAGCTACCCGATGCAGTTTTAGTGTTTAAACTGCTGAACAATGCATGCTTAGATTTGGCCGATAAGCCAGTTGGTTCTAACGGCATGCGTGGATTCAAAGTCCGTTCAGAAGAGAAAATGTGGCAAAAAAACAAGTGTCACTATAGAGGGAATTAATGTAACAAGCGGCAAAAAGGCTAATTGTGGCAACAGAATGCCCGACTGGTGATCAAAATTTGCAGTATGCCAAAGCACGTTTCATTGGACCAAAGATTGCCCACACAAAGGTGAGCCCGCACAAAGTCAAATAGCTGATGATGAGACAGAAATGGAAGAGTGTAACATTTCTTTGTACAGCAAAGAATCACCAACAGATGCAGAAATATTCATGGATGTGACTTGAGCACTGCCATGGACTGGGCTCTCTTGGCAAAGAACTGTACAGTCCCTGACAAAAGTCTTGTCACTTATCCATTTTGTAGAAACAAAAGCTTATAACTTGAAAAAAAAATTTGCTTCATTTAAAAAAGATCAATCATTTAATGAACACAGAAAGGTCAGATTTTGGCAAGACAAAAGTCTTGTCGCCTTGTCATATGATGCACCCAATCCTAGATTACAGCCTCACCTGTGGTCAGTTACTGATCAATCAATTAGTGGGTGTGTATAAAAAGAACCCCAGCACACCAGACCTTCACATCAACTGCAACTTGACCTCTGACAACATGCCTAAGATCCACCCTGAGACCAAAGCGTTAATTATCAAGAGGCTGAAGACCAGATCCACTGCTGAGGTGGCTGACACCTTCAATGTGTCTCAGCGTCAAGTACAAAGAATAAGAAAAAGATCTGAAATGACTAGAGATGTTTTTTGACAAGCCCAGGTCCAGCAGACCCCGCAAGACAACTGCTCCGGAGGACCGTTTGTTGATTCGAAAATCCAAAGCCAGCCCCTTTTCCACTGCAGCAGACTCCACCAGGCCTGGTCACCTCAAGTCCCTGTGTCAACCACAACAGTTTGTAGAATTCTGTCTCGAAATGGCCTCCATGGTCGAATCAGTGCACAGAAACCAGCACTAAACAAAAGGCAATTAAAAAAACATGTGGCATTTGCCAAGGCCCACAGCCTGCTAAAAGGATGGACACTGGAAAAGTGGCAGAAGGTGGATTTCTCACATGAATCCTCAGTTGAATTACATCACAGCCGCCGCAAATATTGCAGGAGACCTACTGGAGCCGCATGGATCCAAGATTCACCCAGAAAACAGTTAAGTTTGGTGGCAGAAAAATAATGGCCTGGGGTTACATCCAGTATGGGGGTGTGCGAGACATTTGCAGGGTGGAAGGCAAATATCAATAGCCTAAAATATCAAGAAGTATTGGCTCCTCTTTCATTCCCAACCATAAAAGGGGTCAAATTTTGCAGAAGGATGCTGCTCCATCGCATAATTCTATCTCTACATCAAAGTTTCTCAAGGTGAAGAAGATCAAGATGCTCCAGGACTGGCCAGCCCAGTCACCAGACATGAACATCATTGAGCATGTCTGGGGTAGAATGAAAGAGGAAGCATGGAAGGCAAAACCAAAGAATCTTGATGAACTCTGGGAGGCACGTAAGACGCTTTCTTTGCTATTCCTGATGACTTCATCAACAAATTGTATGAATCATTGTCGAACCGCAAGAATGTAGTCCTTGAAGCTCATGGAAGTCATACAAGATATTAAATATGGATCTCACAGCACCACTACTTAATTCACTGACGTTATGTAACATATTTTTGTATTTGAAGTAAATTATTTGTTCAATTTTCTGTAGGCGACAAAACTTTTGTCTTGCCAAAATCTGACCTTTCTGTGTTCATTAAATGATCAATCTTTTTTCAGTGAAGCAAATTTATTTTAGTTTATTGAGCATAATTTGGGAGGGTTTTAGCTTTCATGAGACATTTCTAAAACCAATCGATTAATTTAAAGTCAAGTTATAAGCTTTTGTTTCTACAAAATGGATAAGCGACAAGACTTTTGTCAGGGACTGTATACAAAGTGTCCATGGTTATAGTCCACATGAGTTCATGTTTGGGGCAAAATCCAAACCTACCCTCTGTGTTGGTTGAAAAAGCACCAGCTCTGGAGAGCACCACCAAAGTGAATGAATGGCCAAGCACATTTCAGCTTTGCACACCGCGAGACAGGCCTTCACAGAGGCAGAGTGTTCAGAGTGAATCCGGAGAGCCATAAAGAAACAACTGTGTGACAGTAATGAGAGGTATGAACAGGGGGGCAAGGTGTTTTACAAATATGTGGACGTGCAGAGTGGAAAGGGCCAGGGGTGGTAATCAGGCAGGACTGTGCAGTTGTGTCTGTTAGGCATGGAGGCATCTGTGTCAGAGTTAACCAGCTTGGGCTGAGGAAAGTCACTCAGAACCTCAGATTAGCTGTGAAAAAGAAAAGAGTGATGAACACTTGCACAACATAAACAAGGAAACAGAAGAGACACATGTAGAAAGCACTGACAATGATCCATTGCCCACTCCTGAAAATTAAGGGGCAGCGAGACAGAATGCAGTCACGTTGTGACATTAAGAAACACTGAGAGTAGTGCTTCACAAACAGCAAAAGTGTTGGGACACACAGGCAAGGCTAAAGGAAAATGTAAGAACTGGTACAACTTTGAGGCAGATCACAGAGAGGCAGTGGATCTACTGAGGTTGGAGAACCTTCAGGTTCAAGGCCCTGCTCCTGACACATGTGAGGATGTTTTTGTGACCAAGGACGTGTCATTTGATGAAGCCAACACCAATGTGCTTGAGGAACTTCAGGACAACAGACAAAAGTGAGACAGCAAGGTTTATTGCACAAGGATTTAAGGAGCTACAAGTTTCTGAGCTACAAAAGGCCTTTCCAACCTGTTTCTGAGTCTTTGCGGCTCCTTGTGGCAGTGAGTTGTAAAAAACGAGCAGCAGAGCTGGGCTTACCTTTCACTGAAGTGGAGAGACATCAGCTTACTGCAAGCTTTGATGCAAGTAACTTTGCATTAAATCTTACAGACTATTAATGAAGCAAACAGAGCCATGTGTAAACTTAAGGTCAAGTCAGATGCCCAATCTGTCAGATGAGAGAACTCAAGGTGGGCACCTTATTTTTTGATGGGTAACAATGGACATTTATCTCATATTTCATGGCAGTCAATGAGAATCAAGAGTTGTCAGAAACACTAGTGATGTGTGAGGGAATTGAGAATGCATTTTTTTCTTTCAACATTGTTTTCTGAGCTCAGTGCTGGCTGTACTGATCTCCCTGTACCAATGTTCTGTTGTTCTTCTTGTTGTTGAAAAAAGACTGCACTTAAAAGTCAGTTCCATCAAAGAGCTGATCCAAACTAAAAAGGTTCAATGGGTGTTGTGGTCAGAAACTAAAGAGCAGCCTGTAGAATGCCTAACCAAAAAAGGAGCCTCCTCAGCTATACTACGAAAGGCTCTCCATGAGGGACTCTGGACTGTTAAATAAATTGAAATTGATGTGCTATTCAAAAACATTTATGTTATACTGCTCCTCATCAGTTCTGGGAACATGCCGAGTTGCTCCTATTGCACCTGGCTTCCTTGGGTTTCACATTAAACTGGGACAAGAGTGTCC